GGTGACAGGCTGAGACAGCCTGAACCACAGAACTCACCTGACAGGAATTCACCAGACACTCGCAGGAGCTGGGATTGGGAGGTTGGGTTGGGCCTTGTTGTAGCATCTCTGGTACACTCAAGGGATGGAACTGAGGGCAGACCATGCCAAGTAGGGCCACTGCCCCTCTCTTGCATGCATAGGATCTGTGGCTGCCAGTATGCCTGATAGGGGGAAGTTGAGGAACTCTCCTTCTGTTTTGCAACTCTCATGGGAGAGCACAAAGCCAGGGCTGGGGCCAGGCCAGGCCATGCAAGTCCATAGCAGTTGTCAGCATTTTTGTGGGGACAGGCCTGCTTGAGTCAGGCCTTGGCATCCGTTGGCATGCATAAGAGCAGGCTAGGATGTGGGACATGCTCAGCTGGGCTAGGCTGCAACACATACCAGCAAGAGGTGAGACTGTGGGTAAGCCAGGTCAAGCTGGCTTGAAGCACTTTCCAACACATACAAGACCCAGGGCTGGAAGCTGGCCTGGTAGGGGAACTGTTGCATCCAACCCAAGTCTTTCCCCCAAGAAGTGCAGCCCAGACAACTCTACAGAACAACAAAGTTTATAGAGGAGGCAGATAAACAGACCAACCAGCTGGTGTCAGCTCTCCTTTCCTTCCTGAGAAGAGGATTATATAGGTTTTTATAGAAAGAGTGAATTATACAACTATGGGAACCAGGCGAGTTGGGCAGTCACAGGAGGCAGCCATGAGAACAATGGGTGAAGCAATAATTCATGAATCTGAGGGTTACTGGCAGGGCATGTTACTCCTTGTGATTTGGCTCAAAAAGCAGGAAGCTGGCAAAGCATTTTGTATAGAAGCATAAAGTGCAGATTATCAAACTTATGCAGGCCTGAGTCAAAGTGACTCCATTTTGTGACAGGATTTCACAAAACTTTGGGGACTCCTCAGCTGGGCTGCTGTTTCCCCTGGCGAACATGAGAGCTAGGACTGGGGGTAGGCCTATCTAGGAGCAGGCCAGGCTGGGCTAGGCTGCTGCATCAGCTATTGTGCAAAAAAGCCAGAATGGGTATGAGCCAGCTGGGCTAGATCACAACACCAGTTGGCAAGTGCCAGGATGGGGTGAGAGTCCTGTCAGGCTAGACCACAGTACCCCCTAGCAGGAGCACATATGGCCACAGGTGCCGTAGACGAGGCTGATTCACTGCTGGAGCTCTGAGGGTCCTGATTCTCCTGTGAAACATCCCCTGCTACTTCCATCGGGCTTTAACGGTCTGACTCACCCACACGTGACTGTTTTGCAGTCCCCAGTCCTGGCTAGGGTTCCCTCATGGTGGCACAGATGATATTGATTGCTGTATTAGCATTATTAACACATGCATGCACGTCTTAACACAGAAGGAGCTATCTGATAGATCCATCGCTTGGGCACAAGAACTGCACTTGCACAAGCTTGGTGAGTCAGGATGTCTTGCTCCCTGCTGCTGGGCAGGGCACCCTGGGCACTGGCCAGCCACTTAGGCCTCCATTCTCCCAGGATTGTGATCACTCTGTGTGCTGTGCTGTGCTTCCCAGTTTGGGAAGAATTGTTGCTTCTGTGTTGTTTTATGTTTTTGGCTCACATGTTGCTTGGGGTTTTATCTTTTTCTCTTTGCTGGTGGGAGTTAAGCGCCTATTTGTTTCTTCTTAAATACATTTATCTTGTTTTTATTTTTAAAAGAATTATTTATATTTTATTGGTAAGCCAGATTTGCAGAGAAGGAGAGACAGAGAGTAAGATCTTTCATCCGATGATTCACTCCCCAACTGGCCACAATGGCCAGAGCTGAGCCGATCTGAATCCAGGAGCTCAGAGCCTCTTCTGGATCTCCCACATGGGTGCAGGGTCCCAAGGCTTTGGGCTGTCCTTGACTGCTTTCCCAGGCCACAAGCAGGGAGCTGGATGGGAAGTGGAGCAGCTGGGACATGAGCTGGTGCCACATGGGATCCTGGGTAGTTACAAGGTAAGAATTTAGCCACTAAGCCATCCTGCTGGGGTCTATATTATTTTTTGATGATATTTACATAGTTGAGAGGATGTATACCTATATAGACCACTGATTAAGGTGGGGAGGGTCAAATAATAGGGGAAAGTAGACGAGATAAATATGTTCATTTTTCCTCCTGTATCTGGAGGTAGTGGGGAGAAATGGGGAAAGGGCTACTTCCTACAGCCTAACTGCATCAATACCCAGGGATGTGGGATGGCCATTCAATGTCATCCTAGGATACCTGATGTGGAGCATGTTCCAAGGGCACTGCTTGAATGATTTTGATAGTTTTGAGATGCTGTTGATTTCATTGTTCCAAGGTTGAGGAAATCCCTCCAGGTCCATTGGTTGACATAGTTCACCTTAGAGTCTCCATTCATCCAGATAATTGCTGTCAAAGCTTGACTTGGAGAGTTGTCCAATTTGTTCTTTCCTCCATTGGAGCTGTTGTGTCCTCCAAGTGCTTCTGGGCATGCTGTCCACTGCACAGACTTCAGCAATGAAGGAGGCCCACTCTGACAGACCACAGATCCTGTAATTTTCACCGTGGTTTGAGTTCTGAGTCCAGTGGTCCAGTTTGGGAGTCCCCAAGAAACCTCACTAGAGGTGACACCCAAGAACTGGCTCCTATGTGTGCCAGCCAGTGTAGGATCTGGCTCAGTCTGTCACCCACATCAGCTTACACACACACTGGTGTTGTAGTCGCCTGGTCAGTTCTATCCTCAGCCTCATCTCATTCATAGGATGAGATGAACCAAGGATGCTGTGTTCCAGCCTAACCCTGCCCACCACACGCTTAGCCCTCCTGCACACCATCAGGAACTGCAGTCCAGGCAGTGTGACACCAAATAATCCCCACCAGGCTCATCCCCAGCCCTCTTCCTGTGCATGCCAGTCTGTGCAGCAGAATGGGCCAGTTGAACCTTCATCCCATTTGGTTCTTGTATGTTTCAATGGGTGCTACAGCCTAGTTCAAGCCAAATGACCCTGCTATCCAGCCCACACTTAATGCTGGTAGGTGTCTAGCCAGGCCCGCCTCCAGCTTTGGTTCAAATGCTCACTGGTGGGAGTTGCAGCCCATCAGACAGAGGCCCCAAGTTTCCCTACCAGGCCCACTCCCAGCCCTGGATCTTCTAGGTGGTACTGTGGTCTAGCCTGACAGGACTTGCCCCCTTTCCCAGCACTTGCCAGCCTGTACTTACTCTGGCTCATGCATGCACCAGTAGTTAGTCACTTAACCCAGTCTGGCTTGCCCCCTAATCCAGTTTGCACACAGGCCAATGGGTTTTGTAGTTCTGCCTGGCCTGGTCTGCCCAAAGACCCAGCTCTCACACTCACCAGTGGACGTCCCTGTAGCTTCCCTACCAGGCTCACCCCCCAACCCTGGGTTGTTACATGTGCTGGTGGGTACTGCAGCCTAGTCTGTCATGGCCTGATTATCTTGGCATTCCCCAGCAGGTGGCTGCAGCTGGCTCAGCCTGGCCTGCCCCCTGTTCCAGCTCATACTGGTGGGAAGCACCTATTTGTTATAAATAGATACGACCTTAGAAGAATCACAGATGTCCACAACACACGTTAATAATGCTGTTCTTTGTTTTTAAAAAGCATTTTATTAATTTACTTGCAAAGTCAAACTTTGAAGGGAGAGATAGAGATCTATCTGCTGGTTCACTCTTCAAATGGTTGCAATGGACAGAGCTGAGCCGATTTGAAGCCAGGAGCCTTTTCTGGATCTGCCATGTGAGCACAGGAGCCCAAGGCTTTGGCTGTCCTCTGCTACATTCCCAGGCCACAAGCAGGGAGCCGGATGGGAAATGGAATATCTGGGACACTAACCAACACCCATATGGGATACTGACACTGGCAGATGGAGAATTAACGTGCTACACAACTGTGCTGGCCCACTAACACTCCTTTTTAAAGGAGTGAAACATCAGAGGTTTTCATATGCTCATCCACTCTCTTCTGTCTGACAACACTTTTTGTCATGATTTATAGCAATTTTTCTCTTTCACATATGATTACAGATTCAGGCCTTTCACAAATGAATTGTGACACTCCTCCATTTGCTGTTTCACTCTCCCAGTGACCGCAACAGCATTAGCGATAAGGCTGAAGAGGAGGTGGGTTTTTCTTAAAAACTCGTTTCTACACGTTAATTTGGAAAAAACCAAGACTCTATGGCGGGGGGGGGGGGGGGGAACACACGGTTTCCTTTCAAAGAAACACCAAGGTGTCAGGAGCCTGGTGAGAAGCGCCCTGCCATCTAGGGGGTGCAGGGGGAAGGACTAAGGGGCAGGTGTGTTGGCTTGGGGCGTGACTGCTGGGCGTGACGGAACCTGCTCCAAGGAACGGAGAAAGGGAGCAAAAACCCATTTGCGGGGGAAGGGGGTCAACTTCTGAATTCTGAGTCATATACTTTTCCAGAAAACAAAGATTTCAATAGAATATATGCCTCACAAACGAGTTTTCCTTGTCTTTTGTTTGACCTAGTTACTTGCCAAGGCAGCAATATTAAAGAATTTGCAAAGTTTAAGAAGAATTTGCAAAGGCGCATAGCGTTCCTGCAGGAAGTTCCCCAGATAAACGGCATTGTGGGTTCTGGGGACACATGAGTCCAAAAATGTGTGTGTGTGTGTGTGTGTGTGTGTGTGAGAGAGAGAGAGAGAGAGAGAGAGAGAGAGAGAGAGAGAGAGTGTGTCAGGCGGGGGACGGCAACCTGGGCGAAGGCAACCTGGGATAAGCTAGGCCACGTGGTATGCTGCTTCCTCTCTAGCCCCAATCCCTATTTGCGCCCCGGTCCATCCCCCTTCCACTAAGTTGGGGTTTGCACGTCCTGTTCCCGCCTTTGGGGGCAGCTGAGGCCGTGCACTGGGCTGCGGGACCCAGTGGGGCCCCCAGAGCGATGTTAGGCGGGGTTATTTGGAAATGCGCCACCCACACCCTGATCCGGCCCCAGATGGGGTGGGGAGGCTGTGAGGGTGGGGGGACGGTGTCTCGGACTCTTATTTAACGCGTCCCCTCATCTGCAGGAGCGATACCTCTCTGGACAAGATGGGTGTCTATCGCGTCCGTGTGTCCACTGGGGTCTCCATCTATGCGGGCTCCCAGAACCAGGTGCAGCTGTGGCTGGTCGGCCAGCACGGGGAGGCGGCTCTGCGGACATGCCTGCGGCCGTCGCGGGACACGGTGAGCGGGACAAGAGAGGGATTGCACCCCAGAGCTAGGGTTGGTTATATTCCAGGGCAGAAATGCACTCAGCTCCTCTTTTGGGAGCCAGGAAGGAGGGGAGGTGAAGGAGATGCCAGGTTCCCGCAGGAGGGAACGCTCTTGCGCTACCTGAGCCCCTGATCTCTGAGCGCCCCTCATTCAGCGTCCCAAATGGCTGGAGCTGCACCAGAGCTGCACCATGCGAAGCTGGAGCCAGGAGCTTCTTCCCGGTCTCCCACGTGGGTGCAGGGTCCCAAGGCTTTGGGCCGTCCTCTACTGCTTTCCCAGGCCACAAGCAGGGAGCTGGATGGGAAGTGGGGCTGCCAGGATTAGAACTGGCACCTGTATGGGATTCTGGCGCTTGCAAGGCGAGGACTTCAGCCGCTAAACTACGGCGCTGGGTCCCACCTGGCCTGTTTCTAAAAATTATTATTTTAAAGCTGTGACTTAAAGACTTCTCTTCCTTTACCAGATCTCCAACCCTGCTGTGGGCGGGCTGTGGGAAGGGTGGTGGGAAAGAGGCAGGGGATGCCCTCCACCTCCAACGCACCTCTCGGTGGGCTCTGCTCTACCTGGCCTTCACCCAGCCTGCATTCTCCTCTCCTTCCATGAACTCACCATTCCCATTGCCATCCCAGCTCCCACCCGTGCCTCTGGGCCCGGGGGGGGCTCGCATCCCAGCGAGATCTTTCCCTTGCCTCTTGGGGATCACTCCACCCTCCTTTCTCCATCCCTTCCCTACCCCGCCTAGACCTAATCGAGGCTCAGTCCTTGACCTCGGTGCCCTGATGCCCTCTGGCGACCACTAGCGTCCCCCTGAGACCTGTGTGGTCCTCATCCCCCCTTCACCGGTCTTTTGCTCCCAGAGCTTTAGAAGCCAGAACGATCGTCTTCCCCAAACTGAGTCCCCTGGGGGGATCTCAAGCCTGGGAGGGGGTCTTCCCCCACTCAGCTGTGCGGGGCTCGGGCTTTTCCAGTCTCCCGCAGGGCAAGGGGAATAAAAGGGAAGGAAGGAGGGCGTCCTGTCTTCTTCTGTTTCCCTACCTTTGCTCCATAGTTGGACTGGGACAGGGAATAGGGATCTTGAGGCCAGCTGCTTGAGATACGCTCCCGCTCTGGTCCAGAAAGCTTCCTGTGCACTGAAGGCTCAGCAGAAGCGTCCCAGAGCGAGCCCCGCTGATGCTGAGCCGCCTCTGCCTCACAGGAGGAGGAGTTCAAGGAGGATGTTTCGGAGTTCCTGGGGCCGCTGCTGTTCGTAAAAGTGCGCAAAAGACACTTCCTCAAGGAGGACGCCTGGTTCTGCAACTGGATCTCCGTGCGGGGCTCCGGGGCCTCTGACAACGAGTTCTGGTTTCCTTGTTACCGTTGGGTAGTGGGCAACAATGTCCTGAGCTTGCCGGAGGGCACTGGTGAGCGCTGGGCGGGGAGCCAGAGAAGCTGGGGAGCGGGTGCTGCGTGTGCACAGAGGGTGCAGGGCGGGGGTGGGTGGAGGGTGGGGGTGGTGGCGGGAGTCGCCATGGCCTTGGGAGCCCCAGGGTGAGGTTTGAGAGTTGTCAAGAGGCGGGTTGCTGCCGGAGCAGGTGCAGAGCGAGGAGGAGGTGGGGACCCGTTGAGGACAGGCTCTAGGCAGGGATGGGCCGGGTCCGGGTGTGGCTCCTAGGGAGTCAGCGGTGCGCGCCTTTGGGCTTCCAGGTTGCACGGTGGTGGGTGATTCTCAAGGATTGTTTAGGAAGCACCGGGAAGAGGAGCTGCAAGAGAGGAGGAAGCTGTATCGGTGAGCAACATCCCTCCTGCCCTCCACTGCCTCGTTCCCGGGGCTCCACTGGGAGTCTGTGTACCTAGGGTCACTGTGCCTCATCTCATTTCTACCCCCAACAGGTGGGGTAACTGGAAGGATGGGTTAATCCTGGGCATGGCTGGGTCCAAACTGACCGACCTCCCTGATAACGAGCGATTTCTGGAGGACAAGCGAATTGATTTCGAGGCTTCGCTGGCCCAGGGGTGAGATAGCAAAGGGAAGGGGCTGGTGGGAGATGGTGGGGACTGCAGGGCTTGCCGCGGGACCAGCGCAGTGCCCGGAAGCTATGACATTCAGTTCCACCAACAACTCTCAGTTTCTTGGCCGGCTCTCCTTCTCCCCTGCAGGCTGGCAAGCTTGGCAGTGAAGGACTCCCTGAACATTCTGGCACACTGGAATGATCTAGATGACTTCAAAAGGATTTTCTGGTGTGAGCGGAGCAAATTGGCTGGTCAGTCTTCCTCACTGGGAAACTTCTCTCAGTCCCCCTCCTCCCCACTCCCCGCCCCATCCCAGCAACTCAGAGAGGACCAGAAGTGGGAGACCAGAGATCTGGCTCCCTCTGATTGGCTGGCACCAGGTGGAGGATGGTTTGGGGGTAGGGTCACTGGAAGGAGCTCAGGGCCCCCAGTGAGCTCAGTGCTTGCCATCCCCAGAGCGGGTACGGGACTCCTGGAAGGAAGATGCTTTATTCGGGTACCAGTTTCTCAACGGCGCCAACCCCATGCTGCTGAGGCGCTCCACCTGCCTTCCTGCCCGCCTCCTGTTTCCTCCGGGGATGGAGGCACTGAAGGCACAGCTGGAGAAGGAGCTGAAGGTACCAGAGTGCAGGGCATGGTGGGTGGGTGAGGACTGCAGGGCCCCACTGGCTGCTGGTCACCAAGGCAAGCAGTCCCGAGAAGGTCAGCTCCATGATCTTCACGAGGACAATGGAGGGTGGAGAGCAGGTGCAGGATGTGGGATGATCAGCAGACTGAAGATGAAACACACAGCTGGGCCTGGGTGGCAGCAGGGACTTGGGAAGACTGAAGAGCAAGAGTGTTAGGAACAGAGGGCTGTGGTTGAGAGAGAGAGAGAGAGAATGAATCCTGACTGGCTGGGATTTGAATCATGGCTCTGCTGTGCATAAGGTATCTGAGGTGTTCTGATCTTTGTCAATTCCCTCTTGTGTGAAGCGGGGGCTGCTAAGGGCCATGTGTACACATGTTCCACCCTCGGTACAAAGCTGGTGCAGGTCCCACAGGGCCATCAGGGTGGCGAGAAGACACCGGGCACTGATTGCAACCCTGGCGCCTCTCTCACACATCCAGGAAAACACGCTGTTTGAAGCCGACTTCTCCCTGTTGGATAACATCAAGGCCAATGTCATCCTGACCTGCCAGCAGTACCTGGCAGCCCCGCTTGTCATGCTGAAACTGCAGCCTGATGGGAAACTCATGCCTCTGGTCATCCAGGTGAGCGCCTGGTGGCTTGGGGAGGGGCTGCATCTGAGTTCGTCAGCTACTGTCTTGGGAGAGACCTCGCAAGGGGCACTGGGGTGGGGAAGCAGGCCATGTCTTGGACTTTGAGCGGTTGGAACTCCAGCTAGAGAGCCAGACTGGGCAAGTGTGAATTGAACTCCTATACTATAGCAATCCTGGAGGGATCCTGGAGGTGGAGGGGTCCTTGGAAGATGCCCAGGGCTTGATGAAGCAGGTGAGAGGGCAAAGACCTGTCTCCAGGGGCAAGGAACTTAGGAAGAGTTTCCTGGTAGACAGCTCGGTTGGGATGCTAGAAAATAATGTGTGTGGGGAGCAGCCTGAACCACACTAACGAGTCCAAAATGTGGGGGTGGAGTGGGGTGGGGTGGGCTATTGGGGGGAAAGGCTGTTGTGAGAGGAGCTGTGAGCCAATGATGCAGGCAGCTGTGGTCACGAGGAGTTGGGGAAGGGGATGCTAAATGCCAGATGACAGGTCTCATGGTTTGGTGCTGATGACAGAGTGCTCAAGGTGCAGGTGGGTAGTGGCTTTGGGGATAGATGGGCAAGGTGCCTGGGCATGCAGAAGCAGATTCAGTTAGCCTGGACTGAAGCAGAGAGGAAAGGGAGTGGTTGGGGAAGGGGACAGGCCAGGCAGTTGCAGAAGAGAGACAAGCAAAGGGGAAGATGGGAAAGATGGCCAGAATTCTAAACAAGACAGTGGGATAAAGGATATGTGTCCACTGTGAGCAGAAGTGGAGGCTGGAGAAAGCTAGGGAGGCACAATTTCTTGGGAGGCTGAAGGCAGAGCAGGCTCCAGGTTCATGGACCCAGTGGGCAGGAGGGGATGGGAAAGCCACAGGAAGATGAAGACAGGGGAGGAAGTGGGAGGGGCCCTGGTCCTCTGTCCTCCTCCTGCCCACCTTCCCGGGCCTTGTCCCCACTCCAGCTGGAACTGCCCAAAATCGGATCGTCCTCGCCACTGCCACTGCTCTTTGTGCCCACGGATCCCCCGATGGCCTGGCTGCTGGCCAAGTGCTGGGTCCGCAGCGCTGACTTTCAGATGCATGAGCTGCAGTCGCATCTCCTGAGGGGACACCTGATGGCTGAGGTCTTCACTGTGGCTACCATGAGATGTCTCCCATCTGTACATCCCGTCTTCAAGGTAACTCCTGCTTCCCTTCTCACCTGTCAGCTGCCCTGGTGCCCCTCCAATGCTCTATGGAATGTCAGGGGCTGGGCAGCGCCAACCAATGGGAGATAGGAGCGTACTGGCACAGGGGCGGGGCCTGCCCTGCATCTTCAGCAAGCGCCACCGGTGGTCACCTCCCAAGGGAGTGGAGGTGATTGGGGAACGGATAAGAAAATGGTTGCATGAAGCACAGCAAAACAATATAACAGATAATGTTCAGTTGGTCTTTAAGGAGTTTTGGGAGAGTGCACAGGTTGGTTAGAGGGGCCCTGGCCCACATCGGGTCTCATAGATAGAACAGTCTTTCCTTAGTTGAGATACACAGAGGTTGCCTGCTCCATGACAACAGCCACTCAAGATTTCTGGTCACAAATCAATTAGGCAAAGTCCCTATCTTTTGGGATGTACAGGCTCCATAAGACAAAGTGACAACAGCCTGACTTGTAGCATGCTCAGCTGGTGAAGGGCAGCAAAGCATGGCCATGTGACAAAGGCCACCTTGAAGAGATGACAGGGGGAATGGGGCGGTGATGAGCCAGCTGTGAGTCAGTGAAGGAAACTCAGGGTATCAGGTGGAGGGACACTTAGGGCAAAGGCCCCAAGGCAGGAAACAACTCAGCTTGCTTAAAGAATAAGAAGAAGGGGATAGTATTGGGCAATGGGAAGATGGAGGAGGTGGCGTTCTGGAGGTAGACCAGGTGTCCCCAGTGAGGTGGGTCCATGCATTTGCAACTAGGGGAATTATGAGAGGGGAGGGATAGAAACATTCTCCTGTGTTTAATATATAAGGCACAGGTATAAAGCGGTACACCGATACACAGTATCTATGTAGCATTACAGTTTCATGAGGGGGAGGTGAGATTAGGGGAAAAAACGCTCTCCAAATTTCATTGGTGTGACAGAGAAGAAAGGATTTCAGAAACACTGGCCTAAACCTATGCAAAGGGGGGTGGTTTCTTTCCGAGAGGATGTGCTTGGCAGGTGCTGTGTGGAACCGCCAGGCCAAGGGGGATGTGCTGATAACTCTGGGTATCAGGGCCTCCCCCTGCCCCAGCCTCAGGGCTGTGTCTTCTCACTTGGTCCTTCCCTGCTCTGCCCTTCTCCCCGCTCCCCCTGCCAGTTGATGGTCCCTCACCTGCGATACACTTTGGAGATCAACGTACGGGCCCGGAATGGTCTGGTCTCGGACTATGGGATTTTTGACCAGGTAAGGGGAATGGGTGGGGACATCCCAGGGGCTCACCATTTCGCCTCTGGCTTCGGGGCAGCTTGATGGGTCTGACTCTGCCTGCTGGTTCTTGCTCCCCTAGGTGGTGAGCACAGGCGGCGGAGGCCACGTGGAGCTACTGAAGCGTTGCAAGGCCTTCTTGACCTATCGTTCTTTCTGCCCCCCTTGTGATCTGGCTGACCGGGGGCTGCTGGACGTCCCGTCCTCCTTCTATGCTCAGGATGCATTGCGGCTCTGGGAAATCACCTCCCGGTAAGTCAAATGGGGAAACAGGTGGGGTGCAGGTGCAGGCACGGGTGCAGGTAGGGAATAGGAAGCCTGAGGCCTGGCCCGGCGGAGGTTTCAACTCTCTTGCCCGTGTCTGTCTTGCTCTACGTCCCCAGCTATGTGAAGGGCATCGTGGATCTCTACTACAAGACGGACGAGGCGGTGAAAGGTGACCTTGAGCTGCAGAACTGGTGTCACGAGATCACAGAAATTGGACTGCTCAAGGCTCAGGACCGAGGTATGAGGGGCTCTTGTCCTGAGGGCTCAGGACACAAGACATCTCCCTGGAATGCTCCTCAGGTCTTCGGCAGGCCTCCCACACGCCGCCTGAGTTCTCATGCCCTCTCATCTGGGCACGAGTCCTGCTCCCATCCCAGTCCTGGAGGAAGAACCCTCCAGGCATCAGCTGCTGTAGAACCACTGGGCACTCACAGATGTTTAATCAGCGGCTCTGGGGCGGCTGAGCCCTTGCTTGCTGTGATAGCCCATTTCCATGGTGTCCGTGTTTCATTGTCGCCACCCGGGTGAGGTCAGCCAGTCTCATGAATGCCTGAGAAACAGATATTGCTGACTTGCGTGACACAGTATGAACCAGCGCTAGCACCCCACCTAGTAGGACCCTCCTCTGCACTCAACTCCCTGTCCTCCCACAGCCCCCAGTCTGTGTCAGTCTCCACAAAGCTTCCAGGCACCTTCCCACCTGTTATTCTGCTCTGTGTGTCTCAGTCTCCCCGAACACTGCCCTTACTCCCAGCTCCCAGCTCAGGCTCCTCTCCTCCCTCACAGGGTTTCCCACCTCTTTGCAGTCTGTGGCACAGGCTTGCCACTTCATCACCATGTGCATCTTCACCTGCACTGGCCAGCACTCCTCCGTCCACCTGGGCCAGGTACTGAGCAGATGGAGGTGGGGGCAGCTGAGAACATCAGGCTTGGAGTTGGAGATGGGGTTGCGTGCAGGTGGGCTAAGGTGTTCTTAGAGCTGGCAGGCCTCTGATTTTACATTTTCATCTCTTCTAAGTTGGACTGGTACACTTGGATCCCTAACACGCCCTGCACCATGCGTATGCCCCCACCCACCACCAAAGATGTGACGCTGCAGATGGTGATGGCCACATTACCCAACTTCCATCAGGCCTCCCTTCAGACGTCCATCACTTGGCAGCTGGGCAGGCGCCAGCCCTTTATGGTGAGAGCCAGGGCTGGGACTGGGGACACTGGGCATGGCAGAGTGGGGCTCATGTGACTCCAAGCTGCATTTCCTCTCCCCACCAGGTGCCTGTGGGCCAGCACCAGGAGGAGTATTTCTCAGGCCCTGGGCCCAAGGCTGTGCTTCAGCAGTTCAGGGAGGAACTGGCTGCCATGGATAAGGACATCGAGGTCCGGAATGAAAAGCTGGACATACCCTACGAATACCTGCGGCCCAGCCTGGTGGAGAATAGCGTGGCCATCTGAGTGCCCTCCTCCCCTCCACTGCTGCCCCTGACTCCTACAATCCCTTCCAGCCAGCCACAGGCCCTCCCAAACCCTACCCTCTCTGCATGTCCCACCCTCCCCTAAAAGGATTCCCCTTCTCCTTGACTGCCTAAGCTTTGGGGTGAGCACCATGTACTCAGAACATTGTAAGGTTCCTGCCTCCCTCCTTCCCTGTTTCCCTCCTTGCTTCTTCAACTCTCGCAGATGGCCAAGAGTAGCCACATGTATTGCACCAAAGTCCAGAATTAAGTTGGATCATACTATAACGCATGCTACATGTTTTATGAATAAATGTTATCTTGAACCGAAAACCAATGACACAAAGGTATTTTCAGACTAATGGCCACACACACACACACGCACACACACAATAATCCAGAGCAAGCTATTTTAAATAAAGTCTTGGCAAAAGAATATACAACAATAGAAAATGTTTCTCTTTCTCACCTGGTAGGATTTAGCTCATGTCCTGAAGTTAGACACAGCACAGGGCAATCCTCTGACACAATAATGCTTCCATGTCAGCGCTCCCATAGGAAATGACAAATGAAGCAAATGAACAAGTGATGGACAGGGGGAGGGAAGGAGGGGTGCTCCCAGCTGCCAAACTGTGTCAGTATCTTGGGGTGGGGATGTCTAGTTGATGGCATATTAGAAACTCTGCTGTGGAGAATGTTCTGAGGATATTGTTTGAGTGGTTTTGATAGTTCTGAGATGCTATTGGTTTTGATGCTCCAAGATTGAGAAAATCCTTACATAGTCCATTGGCTGACAGAGTCCACACCAGTGCATCCACTCACTCAGGCACCTGCTGCCAAATCTCGGCCAAAGGAGTTGTCCAACGTGTTCTGCTCTCCATCTTCTGACGTGGCACTTGATGTCCTCTGAGGGTCCAAATGAGCTGACCACCGCATCCACCATATGCACCTGGGCATGCCTTCCATTGCACAGGCGTCAGCAATCAAGAAGATCCTGTCTTGATACGTGCATTCCAAGGTCGACTGCAAATCCTATGGTCCTCCCTGTGGCCAAAGTTTTGAGTCCAGTGGTCTAGTTGGGGAGTTCCTCAAGAAACCTCACCTAGGGTGACCCCAGACCTGATCCTTCCCAGCCAGTACAGGGTCAGGTTCAGTCCATCACTCATATAGGCCTATGTACACACTGTTAATTGTAGTTGCCTAGTTCTGTTCCTATGTCCCATGCAAGCTGATAGATGTTGTGACCCAGCCCAACCCAGTGTGCCACCTGGCCCTTGTGCATACCAGCAGGAACTGTAGTCTAGTTGGGGTGACCCCCAATAACCCTAACTAGACTCACCCTCAGCTCTGGTTCGTGTGTGTGCCAGTATGTATAGCAGAATATTCCAGTCAGTGCTTGGCGTACACTGGGGCGTTATGTTCCCCCAGGTTTGGTGTCAGCGTCCCAGGATGGAAAAGAAATGTATTCATCTGGCATGTGGAATCCTGACCACCAGCCAAATGCCCAGCCCTCTTGGAAAAACCTCTCCAGCTTGGCAAGGCGCAGAGAGAGGAGCGCCAGGTCATAAGTGCACTTGGTGATCTATGCTCCTCAGATGCTTGAAATACTTTAGGCTTAAATTATGGACTCTGGTAGAAAAGGGAACTTTTGAGTGAAAAAAGTAGAATTCTCCACTCATAAACGATAGGTAAACTTTTGTTTAAGGCCTAAGCATGAGGTCAAAATAAGGACAAGATTCACATAAATAACTGTGTGAAACATTGTGGCTAAAGATCTCGCCTTGAACGAGCCAGGATCCCATATGGATGCTGGTACTAATCCCTGCAGCCCCACTTCCCATCCAGCTCCCTGCTTGTGGTGTGGGAACGCAGTGGAGGATGGCCCAGCTTTGGGACCCTGCACTTTGCATGGGAGACCTGGAAGGAAGCACCTGGCTCCTGGCTTTGAATCGGCACAGCACCGGCAGTTGGGGTCACTTGGGGAGTGAATCATTGGACAGAAGATCTTCCTTTCTGTCTCTCCTCCTCTGCATATCTGACTTTGCAACCAGACTAAATGACTCCTCATGCGTTCTTTTAAAAAATGCCAGCATGAGGCTGGCATGATGGCTGAACTGGCTAATCTTCTATCTCCAAGCACCAGCATCCCATAGGAGCACTAGTTCATGTCCTGGCTGCTGCACTTCCCATCCAGGCCTCAGCTTCTGGCCTGGGAAAGCAGTGGAGGATGGCCCAAAGCCTTGGGACCCTTCACCCCTGTGGGAGACCCAGAGAAAGCTCCTGGCTCCTGGCTTCAGATTGGCTCCCCTCTGGCCGTTGTGGCCACTTGGGGAGCAAACTAGCGACAGAAGATCTTTCTGTTTCTCCTTCTCTGTGTAAATCTGCCATTCCAATAAAAATAATAAATCTTTATTTAAAAAGTACCAGCATGGATTCTCTGTGTTGACAAAAGAAAATAATTCCTTTTAGAGGACAACTGAATTTTGTGGAGTGATCAATTTCAAGTGGTGGTAAAAAAAAGAAAAGCTTTGATAGAACTTCTGCTTTAGTAATTAACACAAAATTTCCGAGTGTACCATAGGTCTCAAAGGCCCTCTGCGGGGAATAGGGAAGTACAAATCAAGTTAACTAATGTTGGAATTGTGCTGGCTCTTTAACGAAAACTCTCCCGAGAGGAGAAAATAAAATGGAGACTAGAGTAATGATGTTACAGTGTTTGCGAAGACAAAATGATCATCTCCTTGGTGTTGGTGCTCCGGCTTTTGGAGACAGTAGTAATTAAGTTAATTTGGCCACTAAGAGGTTGGGCTACAGCTCCCATCACTGTCACCATGCATGTGCCCTTGTGCCATTTCCAGGGTGGGAGGCCTGCGTGACAAATGTCGACTGGCTTAGCCATTCATCTGTGTGGGGCCTCAGTGTCCCGCCAGTGGCATTTGCTCCTGGCGGGCAGGCACATGTGACAACCCCCAATCTTCGAGCTCCTTCCCCTCTGTGCTTCTCCTGTCAGTCTTGTCTCAAAGGGGTCAATCTGAGTCTTTCAGGAAACATGTACTAGGATATAAATAAACCCACGAGATGGATTGGAGGGAGGGAAGTGAGGGCTAGAGGAGAGGTGTGGCAGAAGGTAGCAGGGTGTGCCTGCCAACAATGATGCAAGTCTGACAGGTGGGTAAAGAGAGACAAGGAAGGAAAACTCAGTACAAGGAACCTCAGGACTCTCCCCCGCTTCCCCCGCCATGTAGCTTTGAGAAAGTCTGGGCCAAGAGATGAGGACTCCCAGAAAAAGGAATACTCACGGGAGAGCTCCTGAGTTAGCCAGGGATGGTCCGCCTGGCTACCTTGGGCAGTCTGGGGGAGGCTTAATATGAGGTGAACAAATTCCTCTACCTTTCCCCCAAAGATTTATTGTTGTTATTATTATTACCATAAAGGTAGATTTATATAGAGAGATATCTTCCATCTCCTGGTTTATTCCCCAAATGGCCGCAATGGCCAGAGCTGAGCCAATCTGAAGTTAGGGGCCTCCTGACTTCTGGGTCTCCTCTGCAGGTGCAGGGTCCCAAGGCTTTGGACCATCCTCCACTGGTTTCCCAGGTCATAAGCTGGGAGCTGGATGGGAAGTGCAGCAGCTGGGACACAAACCGGTACTTGCACTTGGAGGTGGAGGACTAACCAGTTGAGCCAACACACCATCCCTAGAAATACTGTTTTTCAAGTGACACCATACCAATTGGAATTTCATTAGAAGACCATCCCATTGGCCAACTCTTTTCTCAGGTTCTGAAGCTTCCAGAATTCTCTCTTATCTCCCTTTGCAAGTCACTCATCCAAACCTCTCAGCAACTTTTTCTTCCTAGGTTATAGCCAAGTTCATGCTATGACCTCCAAATGACCAGGATTGCAACACAGTCAGCTGAACACACCCGCATTTCAAGCCACGATTGCACATCATTCCTGTTTCCAGTAACTCAGAGTGTGTCCTAAATCACACTGAACACACACATACACACAGTGCCTGTTAGAGTCAGAGAGGACATCCAACTCATTGTATTATCTTTATTTAATATTGTTATTTCAACACAAAATTAGGGAGGAAAGACAAAAATAAATTGTCCTGCTTGCTGCAAGAAGTAGAGCAGCAGGGACAAGAACTGGCATCCCCATGGGATACTGGCACTTACAAGGAGAAGGTTAGCTAACTGAGCCATCGCACTGGCCTCAGTGTGAACAGATTCTAATATTTGGCAGTGAGAGGCCAGCCTGCAATGCCTTTTCTCTCAGCAGATTTATTTTTTTCTCTTTTTTATTTTTGAAATTTATGGCACAATTTTATAGGGTCTGGCATTTCCCTACCTCCTCCCCAAATTCCCACCATCTTCCTGATTTTCCCCACATTATTACAATAGTGCAGTCCTTCATAAGCAGTCATAAGTCCATCGGTCTGTTATTTAAGTGTGCCCTGACATTGCTGGTGCAGACAATGGCAGACAGTCCAGCATCCCACTGTCTAAATACAGCCAACATTTTCATTGGGAGTCCATCTTTGATTTGGAAGTAGAGATGCACACTGCATTGTATCTTCATGTCTGGCTATGATAGTCTCTATTATGTCATCACTGTACATTCCCTTACATGAAAAGCCATGAAACTAAGTCAACAAATATGAAGTTAAAACAAAAAATTTAAAGCACCATGGAGTTGAAAAATATGCCAATGAATAACCAACGCGTGGGTGAAACAATGAAAAAAAAAAAAACACAAAAGCCTTTTGGGTTAAATGATGCCACTGTGTGATCCATGAACCAGCGATGAATTCGACAAGAGAAAAGAAACTATTTGCAAGATATGAAAATAAAAACAAAAACATCAAAACACACGGGATGCAGCAAAAACAGTATGGAAAGGGTTGTTGATCTTTTTCTTTTTATATTTCATTCTTAAGAAATAGCACTTTGGTGGTGCTTTTCTTTCTTTTTTATTACATTTCATTTTATGACATCATCTCACAGGCTCTGAGGTTCCCCCAACCCCTCCCCGTACCCTCTCCCCATGGTGGATTACTCCACTTTATTGCAGTATTTTTTTTTAAAAAAGATTTATTTATTTTTATTGGAAAGGCAGATATAATACCGAGAGGAAGATCTTCTGTCCGATGATTCACTCCCCAAGTGACCGCAATGGCCGGTGCTGAAGCCGGGAACCAGGAACCTCTTCCAGGTCTCCCATGCGGGTGCAGGGTCCCAGGGCTTTGGGCCATCCTCCACTGCTTTCCCAGGCCACAAGCAGGGAGCTGGATGGGAAGTGGAGCTGCCGGGACTAGAATCG